TGCGATTAATTTTTTTCAGTTTAAAGCTTTAAAAATATTTAACTCAATTAAAGCAGGGGTGGAACTAGGGTTGGCCACCTCACTCACAACTGCTGTTTCTGTCTCTTTTTTTTTTCTTGACAAGTCTCCTTTTCAGACACGCACTCAGCTTCAACTCAGCACCAGACACAAGTCAAACGAGCGCGGAAACGGTACAGGTGACGAGGCGCTTCAGTAGAACAACAGTGAACTGTGGTCAGATGAGATGTTGTCAGGCCGTATGTCAGTAAAAACCAATTTACTTGTCCTGTCAGCCGGTATACTGTGCTCAAAGGATGTGCTCTTCAAATGCATGCACAAAGACGGTGGCGCGCGCTGTATATCATTTCATATTAAAGCGCAAAAGAAACCAAGAAAATGCAATGTCGCAGTTATGTCGCCAGTTAAGTCATGAAGTTACCAAAAAGCTGCGATTAAAGCTGCCATAAAACTTTGCATGCATGTAAGTATTATATATGTTGAATTAAGTTTATTTTCTACCCAGTTGACATTTGTTTTCTTATTTTAAACATAAATCCAACAGAATTTATTAAGGTTAAATGGGGTAAGGGGGCGATAACTGTAACAATAAAGATATATATAAAATAATTCTGAATTTGAAAGAATAGCAGAGTTCACACTGCAGCTGTAACGATAACAACACAGATGAACGATATAATTGGAAACACTTTTAAAATGTTTTTTTCCCAACTGATGAATGATAAAAACATTGACAGCCAATCAGAATCCATCCTGCTTTAAAGAGCTTGAGCATTTAAAAAAGTAATAATTATCATTATTGCTATCTTTATAGTTATAGTTGTCTTACACCATTTTACACCAGAATATTTATTTATTTTTCCTGAAAAACAAGACAAAAACTTGCTAAAGCATGTGTTTGCAGTGTAGAGCCTGACTCAGTGAGAAGACAGATGGATGTGTGGTGTTTACCCACTCTTGTGGAGGGCACAGGTCCCTCTCCCCTCTCATTTCATCTACTTCACTTCTTCCATCCATCTTTGGAATGGAACTAAATTGCTGTGTTATATTTTCTAAATCGGTGATTGCTTGGTCACAAAAGCCTATTGCTTCTTGCGCCGTCTCAAAGCAACACTTTATGTTGTGTGCTTTCCTGTTAGTGGAGTTTTTTTCTCTATTTCTTTTTTTGGCTAAAGAAGTAATATCTTCCCTCAGGGCCATAGATAAGACTAATAAAACAGAAAAGCCATGGACAGAATCTCTCTCTCCATCTCACAAAAGCCTGTGTAGTTACGCATGGCAGGGGAACTGATCCCTGGAGTGGCTCTGCTGTAGAACAGGGGTGTAATCACGGAATAGGATCGAAGTGCAGGTCTCCCATGCTGTTCTCTTTCTGTCTCTCATTTACTGCTGGGTAAAGGGAGTGGGAGTTTTCCTGTTTGCCTCGTCAGCATCCCCTGCATTTGTAGGATAGTGAGCACAGCCCTCGTATGTGTCACTGATGAATCAGGAGGAAAAACTACCTTAGATTATTATCATGGGTTGAGAAACAGCACGATATAGATTAAATAGTAGGCTATGTCACACAGACTGTTTTATATTGACTTTCGACAGCAGGCTTTTTTTTTTTTTTTGAGGCGGCACCAGTGGTAGTCCTAGGCAAGATAAGACAAGAATAAAAATATTTTTGCTTAGTAGTTCATTATGTAAATAAGGTTCTGTATGATAGTGAGTGATTATTCAATATCATTAACATTACTTTAACAAACATTTTTTTTTCACTCTAAATTGATTTTATTTTTGTTCATTTTATTTAATTTTTGCATCCAAAAAAAGTTGGATTCCGAATCTACTTGGCTGATAAATCTGAAGGGGCTTGTCTGTGCATTTGTCTATCTGTCTGTTGTCTCAATGTGTCTTTCTTTCTGTTCAGACATCATTACATTTTCACGGTGAAGTAGATGAAAGATAAAACCTGTGTAGACTGTAAAATCTTACTTTGCACTTGAAAGCGGCTGCCTTTGAGTGATGGTGTCTGTGAGAGAGTACGGAGGTGTTTTTAAGTCCCCACAGCAAAAGAAGAACTTCTAGAAAGCAAGGCAGCAAAGTGAACTCTAGGGAGCTTGTGTTATGTGTATTTGTGGGTAGATGTTCTTGTATCCAGAGTTTACCTCGCTAAATCTCTTGGGAAATGGCAAAAAATATACAAATAAAACAAAAAATGAAAACAAGTTTTCTCTGAAATGGAAGCCACTCTTTGTCTTAACATAGCAGAATTTGAAAGCAGTTTTTTTTTCTTTTTGAAGTTTTTTTGTACTCATTCTGAATCTTAGAATGAAAAACATGTTGTCCTATCAGTATGTGCTATATGATAAGAATGCTACAGGCAAAGGAAGACAGATAGAGAGATGAGAGTTTAAACTAAAATGTGCAGAAAGGAAAAAAAAAAAAAGCTACTCTTTTCTTACTTCTAGAATAGAGTACTTCTAGAATAGAGAGGTCTTTACCAAAAAGTAGGTTTTTATGTTTTTTCCAAGGATAGACTAGACAAGTGTAGATGAGCAAACCCAATTTATCGTCAGATGTTTTCCCAGAGTGAACTTCTCATGTTGTTATACTTAATTCACACTAAAAGATGCACATTAGGGCCAGATGTGCTTACAGATGGATTAATGAAGTTTGCCATGTTGTCGAAAGATCATTGTAGTTCCCGCAGAAGAAAAGCTCATGGAATTAGGCCAATCTGTTGAATCATGTGTCCCAGACCCACCTTGGCTGTAATTCAGCACATACTCGAGTGCTAGTGATCATGGAAGTGATTGCTGTGGAAAAGCCATTCAAGTTCACGCTCAGTATACTTGACAAACTCACTTTCCATATCTTCAAAAATCTCATGCGCTTATCTGTCAGAATATACTGAATATACCATTCAGAATATACTGTCAACTGCATACTAGTTTTAAATATCTCGTATAACAGTTAAAACAGCAATTTTAACAGTTAAATTCTAT